GTGAAAACGTGTCAGGATGTAGTATATACTGCAAGTAGTGTAATGCATGTGGTAGAAAACAGCTTAGGAAAGTATTTCCTGAAAAATGTAACATTTTGTGTTTTAACCCCTTACCGCTCCTCCGTCCCGCCGGCGAGACGTGACCACTTTCCAAACACATTACAGCCAGATGTGCTCCACGATCAAGTTTCCCGACAACATACACATCAAATGAAAGCTCAGAGTCTCCTCTTTCCGATGATATAAACCTTTTTGACCTTTTCTTACTTTTGAAGGCTCTCTGCAGCTCAAACATCGCTCATTCCTCACCAGCTTGGTCTCATTCTGTCCGGACAGAATGAGCAGACGAACACGTGGATGTGTCAGAAGGCAGGATTGTGTGTGTGTGGCGGTATCGGATCGGCCGGTTACCGCTGTGAAGTAAATCATCCGATACCTTAATTTCGTCCAGTATCGGCCCGATACCAATACCCAATATCGGACCGGCGCAGCTCTAGTCTGTACAGTTTTTAAATTATTTATTTAGTTAATTAGATTTTATTCTGCTGCTTTCTTTTCTTTTACAGGTTTTTTTTTTGACCCTTGCTTTATAAACTTGCTTGCTTGCTAAAAATCTTACTTTTGTGTTCTAAAATGAGTCAATGAGCTCGATGATTTTGTGTATCTAGAGTTTCTGTTTGAGCCTGTAAATCATTTTATTATTGTACTGTACATTGCAAAAAGAACTCACCCCACTGGATCCTTTCGTTCACATGTACATCTCTGATATCTGCTTAATTAAACATTCTCTGGTCTGCTGGTCAACAGACGCTTATGTCGACGTCTTAAAGTGCAAACTGAAGTGTGAAGAAAACCTGAAGCCCAACGTCGGGGGATATTTTGTGGAGAAATTTGTGGCCACTGTTTACCACTACCTCCAGTTCGCCTATTATAAATGTAAGTTCACTGCCGGCTGAGCTTTCCATCGCTGATCCTGATCCATATTCCTCATCAACACCCTAAAATCAGTGTTTGCTGTCTGCTCTCTGACCAGTGAACGACGGCCGCAGTGCCGTGCCCTGCGTCTACAGCTACTTCTTGTTCGAACCAGAAGACCAGGTCATGAAGCAGAACCTGCAGTATTACAAAGCCTACAGTGAACAGTGGGGCCTTCAGACGGACCACTTCGCACCGAGAAGGGTGAGACAAAGATTACATCCAAAAAAACAATATTGACTACAAGACCAAAGCCCTGGTTTTATATTAGGTACTGGAACAGATGTGAAAATATACTAAAAGGGGTGGAGAGTCATAGACAAGTAAAAATGGAGGGAAAATGAAATGTGTCTGCCTCAATAACTGGAGGAATAATTACGTTGTCAGTGTTTCTATTCAGTACCTTTAGAGATCAATTACACATAATATGCTCTATTTTAGCAGCTCATCATCATCTACATTTACACAATTGACACCATGATCAGTCTTATTTGGACTCTGTGTCTGAATTGTGCCAAAGCATACAGTTAGATGTGAAAAAAAGGACTTCATGTACAGACAATTAAACAAAGAATACTGGTTAAGGAGTTGACGTAGGAGTGCATCTCAAAAATGTAAAACATCATGAAAAAGTTTAGTATTGTCTGGGCAGATATTATATACGTACTTTTCAGAACCTTTCAACTAGATAAAGGATATAAAGGATCTCCATTTTCATGAGCTATGAGTCATAATCATCAAAATGAAAACAAAAACAACGATTCAAACATTTCACTCTACATGTAACAAATACAGAATATATAAATATGTTCCCTTTTTTAATTAAAATGAATTAAAATCAATTAAAAATGAGCCTTTGTTCACATTTTTTCAGACACATCCAAATGCGGCGCTGCACGTGGCAGTCTGCCTTCCTTTTGAAATTGAATTTCCCCTCTGAGATAAATAAAGTATTTTTCATTCATTTCATGCATTACTATATTTATACTTTAACAAGAAGAAGCCATGTCGGTGTCTTCTTAAGGCTCCGCTGAACACTTTGAGCACTTTCAGCTCCTCTCTGCTGCAGCACTCACTGGGACATGACACCGTAATAACCGCACATCATCACTTTGTTATTCTTGTTAATTCTGTTCCTGGCGTGTCTCGACGATCTCGCTGTGTTTTAACAGGAGGCTTTCAGACACTACAATCAGACCGTCGCTCAAAAGCAGATGCTGACATTTGCAGAAATGTATTTGAAGATGAATGATGAGGTAAGAAAGAAAAAAAAACAAAACACACTGACATTTTTTATTATTGGATTGAAAACATGACGAGCTACACACCACATAGGAAGATGATGACTTGTCTTGGAAGCCAAATACATTTCTTTTGGCAGTGGTTCTGTTTTTCAGTAATAAAACGACAGGAAGAGAAAAGAGTCGGATTTCAAATGTCTTATAATCGTCTAATCAGTGTGATGTTTGTGAACAATCTGAGTGAAACCTTTATAGACAGCTATTCTACACATGATGATGATCATCCTAATTGTGTTTCCAGGATTTTCTTGGACCAGAGGAAGCTGCACTTTTGGCCCCTGAGTCTCCTGATGCTGAGTTTGAAGGCATTGGAGACTATGAGGAATCTTTCTACGCTAAATGGAGGCAGCCGAGAGGCAAAGGGGACGCTGGCGAGTCCGAGAGCTGAGAGCGAGGATTTATGCAGCAGTGGAGCAGAAAATGTCAGTAAATGTTCGTACATTCAGTAATCCAAAGTGCCACATATTTTCAGTTCCAGTGTTTTTTCCTTGGAGGCTGGTTAATTATTTTTTGTATCCATCTATTTTGTGTTTGTAAAGTAATAAAAGAAAGCCGGTAATAACCATTTTCACTTTCTCCTCTACCTACAAACATGCTTGTACATGCATGTCAGGGTGTGCTGCAGGCCGGCTGACGTCTGTAAACAACATTTTTTTGGTTTGATTCACGTCTCTTAAGGCGAGTAATAGAGCAGGAGAGGAGGAGAGTGAATAATGACAGAGAGCAGTAATGTTTTACTGATAGCTGGCTCATTGGTTTGGCTATGTGTCCATAATTATGGTCCTAAATCTGTACGCAATCCATGTTAAAAACGATTTAATAATATTCCCAAACACTCATCTCCAAGCAGCAGTGTTATCGGTGAACTATTTAACTCCTGAACTGTCAGAAAAACTAATTAGATGGTTAGCTTCAGTGTCAAATGTTGGACTGAATAAAGCTTCTCTGGGCTCAGAATGTGAGACACACAGATGAACAGATCTTGTTCCCGTCTTCAACCGAGCCTGAAGAAACATCACTGACTTTAAGCAAATATTTAGAAATATTTACAAATGTGAGGCTCTGGATCTAAATAGGAAGAAACACAAACCAGTTTCAAGTTAACCCTTCAATGGGACACTTAAAGGCTGATACCTGCTGTTACATCTTTATTATTCTGTAGTCTAAAAAAAAAAGGTGACAGAGAAGAAGTATGGTGGGAGAAAGTTTTCTCTTGAGTTAATAGAAGAGATGAGAACAGGGGATGCCATCGAATGACCTCATCACATTGAGCACCGTCGGTATTTGTACACATTTTCATGCAGTTGTTGTTGAGATATATCAACTTGGACCACATTGGTGGATAGAAAAACCAAACTTCCTTAGTCGTATGTTGCTAGCTTCTCTTGGAGATGGCAAATACTTCACAACAAATTTACAAGAAGTACTTGGATCTTTAACTTAAGTAAAAGTCCTGAATCCAGTCTCTGTTACAAGTAAAAGACATGCATTTAAGTTTATACTTAAGCAAATGTATTGGCATTAAAATATACTTAAAGCAAAGTACTCATGATGGCACATTTTACAATCATGTGTATTACTGTGTTATAACTACTAATAAATTAACATCACTTTAATGCTGGAGCTCGTGATTTAACCACTTTATACACATTCTTGTGAATTTCTTCCGAAGGAGAAATAAACAGTGATGTTAATCTTTAATATTAAATCGTCATTTATTTGTTGATTTTATTTTGTATTGTAGAACTAAATCTGCAAAGTAACTTGTATTTAAAGTTATCAGATAGTAAAAGTCACAATATTTGAATCTGAATTACAGTCAAGTTTAAAGTTTAAAGTAGCAGAAAGCACTTTGCTTGACTAAATATATTTTCCTTCGCTGCACTACAAGCAAGATAAAGAAAAGTCAGCGTCATGTACAGTCGTCCTCAAATGTATTCATCATACCCTGCCATTAAAGGAAAGGAAAAAGTCACACTCAAATAACTAGAAACTGAAAAAAGTAATAATAAATACAAATTTGCTGAATTATACTTTAGTGAAATAAGACGTTGCTTTTGAATTGTGGTTGAAAAGAATAATTTAAAAAAACAGAACTGTCCCAGACAAATGAGAGCACTTTGCCGATAAGCAGTGAAATCAAAATACCTGTCAACAGGTGCAGAAGTCTGACTGAGAGTTACAGAAAACACCTGATGGCAGTGATTGGCTCAAAGGGTTGTTCAACAAAATACTAGTTTACGGGTCCCATCAGGCTTTTAAAAAAAAAACATTTCTGTTGAACTACAATTCAAAAGCAGTGTCATGATTTTCATTACATTTTTGTTTATTATTACTTTTGTCAATTTCAACTTATTTCATTCACAGCTGTTTTTGTCCTTCTTTAACGGGAGGCTATGAATAAATCTGAGGACGACTGTAGTTAGTAAAAGACAGTAAAGAAGACTTTGTCGATATTCACGCAGACCTTTTGTCTTCCTTATATCAGGATTTACACAACAGACACACACATCCCACAATCACACAGCCACTAGTATTCAGATATGTTTAATATGTATTTTAATATACAGGAATATGAGTATTTACAGTGAGAGTAGTCAGTACTGGTTACCTAAGACGAGACGACGTTGACGTCCATAGTGGACGGTGCCTTTAACTACGACGTGTGATCACAAACAGTGGCAGTAAACACAGTGTGACCTGAGCTTTCAGCCAAGACTGTCCTTGAGCATTTTCAGATATTTATACAGTGATACACGGAATAAAGACTTCAACTATGCTTAAAGGGATATGCTGACATTTTAAATTTAGCCTGTGGTGACAAAAAAAATCTCATGTGCTGCTAAAAATCCAAGAAGTCACCAAAAAACGACTCTATGAATAAATGTAGATTTTATTATTTTTTTTTTTTTTAATTGCCAGAGGCAGAAACCTTCATTTGAGAGGTTTGTGTGACAGACTTGAACTCAAAATGTCAACATATTGCTTTAATGCTGCTGTAGGTTGACTGGCAGTGTAACTTGGATCATTTCTTTTGACGCCTGTGTGGCTTCATACACAACAACCACAAGTGTGTAATCCTCTAAACCTGATTCAGCGTTCTCTGATGTGCAGAGAGGATAAATGGAGAAAGTGTTGCACTTAAAGCTGCAGATCTGGGAGAGCTTTTTCAACGCTTTTTAACCCTTTTAACGCCCTTTTAAAAGTACATACTTATTGCTTATCATGTGGCTCTGCTCAGTCAGAATTAAATCATCTGAAGCCATTTAGTGATGAAGCATATGTGAAATCAAATTTTTTTGCTATTTCTACTATTTCCTCATTGATGGAATACTCAGACGCCAAATATTTTCGTGGATTTGAAGTAGATCTTGTGTTAACTTGGGTCTTAGAAATCGAATTTTGCAGCTTGAAAATCTCTCAGAGTCATGTGTGAAACAACACACACATCTTCTCTGCAGCCTACAACAACTCTGGATTCTCAAAAAAGCTCAGATTTCCCTAAAATGCAAGGATTCGAATCCTAATTAAATCTCCAAAAACAAGCGGTTTTAGGCAGGAGGAGTCTTCTCTCTCCAGACTTGTGCTTCCATTCAGAGCGGCAGTGAGTCACTGCTGTCTCAATGAGTCAGTTCACTATATACAACAGCACCCATGTTCAGCATACGTGTATGCATATAGTTTGTATATGGATTACATATCATACAGCAGGATAAAACATTCAGTGCGTACATGTGCCGCCTATCCAGCTTGGCCGGAGTAAAAGTACAAAGTACTCGTATGCGATCAGCACAGCGACTTAACAAGCTTCCCTGCAGGCTTCAACTATACATTCGTACATTAACGCATAAGCACTGATTTAGGACTAACTTCTCGATAAGGAAAGGCAGCATAAGAGGAGAAATTATGGCTGTTACTGTGGAATGTAAAGTCTAGCGAACAGAACTAACCTTCACCTAAACAGACAGAATGTCAACATTCAGTATTTGGTGATGTTTATGCGCTTCTATTGCAGTTAAAGTCACACTACTGAGAGGAGGTGGTTGTGCTCTCCACGAGGTTAAATATGGTAAATGTGTATTAACAGAAGGCTTCCTCCAAAAGTCCGGACGGGGAGAAGTGCACGGCCTTCCTCCGTGATGCCGCTTAAAGGGGTAAAAGCATAATAACAGTCGATAGAGAGGAACACTGTGAAGTCTGTGGTTGGACAAAAATCAATCCATCTGATTAATTCAAACGACACTGATGATGTAGGAAATAAAAGTTGTGCCTGAATCAGAAGCCATGACAGCAACTTCCAAACAATCCCTGACAGCCGTGATGATCGGTGGTGCGTCCTCGGGGCACTGATTTATATTCCAGAGAGAGTAGATGGAGCAAGAAAAGGAAACAGAAAAGGCGGGAGGGCTCGTAAGTGGAAGACATCTTTGTTCTGTCTCCTCAGAGTGGACTGCACACAGTGTAAAGAAGACAGGGCAGCAGAGAGACGCGACTCAGACTCCCGAAGATCTGGAAACAGAAGTGGAGAAAGAAGAGGAGCAGAGAAAGAGAAGAGAGAAGAAAAAAAAGATTGAAGAGTCTGATTAACAGAAATATTGAAAAGACAGCAACAGACTATGGCAGCAATGTGATTACAGATAATTTGTTCAATCAAAACCCCAGAAAACAGCAAAAGAGATTCTCGTTTTGATCGACTTACTGATCAAAAACCACAGATAAAGATGGGCTATTGGAGCTCTTACAGAAACAGAACATAAAACAATGAGAAAAATAACCCAAAAAGAAAAACATGTAAGATGAGCTCACCTTTTATTATTGAAAGTCTTATGAAATGAACGATACAAACTCAACACAGCAGCTATAAATGGCAGCCAACTCAGCGAAGGGGCACACAGGATAAATAAAAATAGCACAAACTACAAAACACAGTGATGTTTGCTAAAACTGTTGCAGGAGAGTTTTGTGTTTTAAAGGATATATAGACGATGTATTGCAAACTAGTATAGGATATAAAAATGCTGTATGTAGCATTATTTCATGCTATATATATGTGTGTGTGTGTCACTATACAAATACATATCAACTTTTTAAAAAATGTGTGAAAGATGGAAAACCAGGATAAATAAACAGGTAACAGATGCACACACATGTGGGGGTTTTAGGTTCAGGTTTTTATAAAACAGATGGCATTAAGACTGATAAATGTCTGTGCTGAGATCGCTACTGAAAGGCGGGATTGTACCTTCCTTTTCGGATGTTTCTGGATCGGCGGCGATGCGGCAACAGGGAGGAGGGAAGAAGAGAAGAAAACAGATTCAGTTAGATCATCAATCGTTGTTTTATGTGGGTGAGAGGCAGTGTGAGGAAAAAACATGCACACGGCCTTAAAAGCAAAGCAGTAAACAAGCTTTGGAAAGACCTCCCATCTTCGTCTTTTGCCATTCACACACTAAACTCTGCTACCAAGCGAGCTGCCCCTGCACTCTCTAATCTACAAGCTACAGTTATGAGATGAACGCAAAAGATTAGAGTCGAAGACAAGCATACTTGTTCCTTTGCATGCTGCAGGCATGCCACAGCAAAGCTAGCATGAGCAAAGCAGCATAGTGGAGTGAATCAAACAAAACAAAGAAGATCTGGAATCAAATCCGGTCATGCAGAGTGAAACATGAAAAGAGACTGTTTGAGTTTTTCTATTTGGGATTCTGCACTGGAGGAAATCTGCACCACTATTCTAGTGCAAGATTTAAAAAAAGAACTCAACCAGTTCAGCTCTGCACTCCTGTAATACTATCAGGCTCATGATGGACATATTGTCCCTTCTTGCTGTCTATACAGTCTTCAGCGGACACTGGCTCATGTAACATCACCTCAGTCAGTCAGATTTCAGGCTTCCTCTGGGGCCACAAACAGCCTCAGTAACTGTTGTCACATATGTGGTATTTACTTCCTCCTAAAACCTGTGAATTCACACCGATGTGCAAAATAAGTGGAGTTCCCTTCAGAAGAATAGAAAGTACACAAACTGTTTGACTGGTTTAGTTCTGTGTGGTGTGAAAACGTACAGCAGTGCCAGTGTGTGTCCAGTGAAGGGCTCCAACTAATCTTCATTATAGACCAGTTAGGGTCACTTAAATAAAAAGAAACAGTGAATAACATCCACCACGGCTCATCAAGACACCAAAGGGAAGTCTGTCTGAAGATACTGGTTGGCAAAAATTCTTAAAGAGAGCTGCAACTTAATTACTGTTAACGACTGATACATTTCTTGATGAACTAAAATTATAGCTCGATCCATAAAAAGTGAAGAATTAGTGAATCACAAGTTCTCAAAAGGCTCGACTTGTCCAACAGTTCGAACCCCAAAACATGCTCAGTTTAGTATCATTGAAGAAAACTAGAAAATATTCATGTTAGAACGAGTATTTAAAAAAGAATTAAGTAAATTATTCAAACTCTAATGAATGAACTCACTGAACAAACTGATTAACTTTTTATCAAACTGAATAAACCTTCATCACACAAAGCGTCAACACTCCTGCCTGATGGAAGTGTCATCAAAGAGCCTAGAAGTGCTGGTGATTGATAATAAGTGCTATGATTCATGCTCAACTTCCTCGACAAACCCGCAGATGGCGAACCATCTACTGCGTGCCCACCGGCATCGAGAATTAAAGTCTCTGGTTGTGAGTGTGGACCAGACAGCAAGCAGAGGAGCATTCAGCAGCAAGCTGTGTTAGCTGACAGAGCGACACTGCAGGCACACACACACGGAGGCATGCCAGAGCTCTTACTTAAATCCCCAGCCAGTTCCCCCCAGGACTATCGCTGCCAGCAGAATTGCACCGGCAACTGAGCCTATTATGATATTGGTGCCGCTGGGACCTGTGGGAGTGAAGGAGTTAGCCAGTCAGGGAAAAAATAAATAAATAAAAAATGTAAATAGCATGTCAGGAAGCTGAGAACCAGGACTTTCTGTGGTTCTACTCTATATTTTGTCAGCTTGACTGTAAAGTGGAACTGATTTCAGTTTCCACATAGCTTAAACAGGACCGACTTTGTGCATTTACAGCTCTACTTTTTTATTCTTGGACTCCACCAGAGTAACTTTGCAGGATTTGGAGTTTTTAAAAAAATCCTTATTTATCTCAAACTGGCCTTTAATCTGGCCCCACAGTTCATCCACATCTGAAACAAGCTTCCCTTTCTTTAAGGTCCTACTCCCTAAAAGTCCACCTTCTTCTGACTGGCCGGCTTTCCGTTATCATTTTATACTACAACTGATGGAACTTTCTAAATTACAGATGCTAAACGAACTTCTGTTGACAAAACAAGTTATTTTGATATTTTTCTTTGTCAAAAATAAAAGGTATTTTACAGGTGAGCCGCTGTGGTTGTATGTTAAAAAGACAGAGCTGCTCGGCGTGGCTACCTCTGTACTTCTCTGGGCCGTCCGCTGGAGTCGGGGTGGGGATCGGGTCGAACACGCTGCAGTCCTTCCCGGTGTAGTCTGGATCGCAGATACACCTCACCTCGTTACTGCAAGTCTGCGACACACAAAGGAGAAACATCAGTGAGTGCAACCAACATCTGATCTCTCTGTAGGCCATAAAGCTCCACTAAATACAGGAGAAATAAAATCCTGCTGCGACTCAGACGGCCGCGGTGGACTCACGCCGTGGTGCGAGCAGATGCGTGAGGACGAGGAGCCCGGGCAGATGCTGAGGTTGAAGGTGGTGACGGGGAGGCAGCGGCGCTCCAAACACATCATGTTCGGCCCGCATGGCGTCCCGTCCTCCACGTAGCCCAGGTCCAAGCCATCATCCAGCACTGCGTGACCACCTCTGCAGGTCAGACGGACACATACAATCCTGTTTCATACACTGTGGATATTCCCTCACATACTGTCATAATTATCCAAATAAGATTCAACTGCACCATTTCATCTTTGTAGACGATGTCAGGTTGCCAAGATCAGTACTTTGTCTGTATTCTTATGGACTTTTTCCTCCTATTCTCCTTAAATCGGAAACTTTCTTTTTAGCCTTGTTTGTCTACTTTGAGTAAATAAATTTGGCTGAATATCTGTCTCTGTTTGATTATCAGAAAAATATATATAAGAACCAGCCAACCAGGGCCCAGCTGTTTAGGAATAATCAACTTTTTGCTAATGGATTGGATCGAGTCTTTAAAATTATTTGGTAAACAGGGGAAAAAAAGGACCCTTAAATGGGATTAGATCAACAATCTAGTCTAATCTAATCCAGTCTTGGTATTGATCTGGATCAAACCGTTGGTATCTGTTGCTGAAAACTCTTTAGTAGGACTCGGAAGGGGATGTTTGTTGTTTTGTTGTGCTGGTTTCTATTACCCTAACCCTAACCCTGTTCTATCCGTTGCTCCTTACAGAGCTAGGAGCCTATATTGTGATATGTGGTCCATTTAGATCATTGGAAATCCAAATTTGGGCAATCATGACAAAGTTTATCTCAGCGTAGGACAAACCAATGTTGTTTTGGAAATCAAACACACAAAAAAAGATGAAATATTTAATTTTGATTTGCAGAACATACAATTTCCAAATCCAATCATTCTGAACTAGATTAAACCTGGTTTAGAAGATCAAATTGAGCCATCTTTACCAAGTGTTCTGTATTTATTCATCTTGTTCAAACCCACCAAGCTGTCAGACAAAAGCTGTCTCACCTGCAGTCCAGGTATTTGTTCTGATGGTGGATGGTCAGGCTGGTGATCTTCCCCTGAAGTTCGCCAAACCTCGGCCTCTCGGTCAGGTTGGTGCACAGCAGCAAACCACACAGGACGTCTCTGATAGGGGTAAACGAAAGAAGATGCAAGAGATCCAGAGTTTATACAGAAAAAAAAAAAGCTTGATATGAATCTTCACTGTTTACTCACTGTTTGTTGCACTGCACCCATCCCTGACCGTTGGAGTCCGGACCGCAGTTTCCTTTCTCTGTGCCCTCTGAGTTCAGCTTCTCATAGCAAAATCTGTGGGCCGAGTCTGAAAGGAGACAACAAAGTCTTCAATCTTTCACTCAAATCAGCTAAAGTGACAAAGATCCTCCTCCTGAAGTCCTCTGTTAAGAAGAACATTCACACAAGACATCCTAAGAAGAGCATCACCGCCTGCAGCCATGAGAGGGCAGCGAATGATCAAGAAAAAACAGCTCAGCATTTAATCCAAACCTACTGTAGCCCCACAGCGTCCTGCACTGGCCATCTCTGGTCTTACAGCGACCTCCATAACAGCGACCCTGTTGAGGTGAAGAGTGGAAACGATGATGAAGGATAAAGAATGCTTTACTGATGCCACAAACATTCAACTGATAGATGGCTTCACCTGGCCAGCATCACACATGTAGCCATCCAGTTTGTGGACGTTGTAAGGACACTGCAACAGAAAGAACGTCATCATTCAGTCGGTTTGGGTTTTGGACTTCTGATGTTTTTTTAAATCGGCTTGATAAATCTATACGTGTGAGGGGTCGGTCTCACCTGGCTGGAGTCGCCTGTGCAGGTCTCAGGAATGTCGCAGTCGTTCACAGCATCGCGGCACGTCACCGCTCTCAGCTCGTACTGCAACGGCCACAAAGGAGGGAGGGAAAGACAAGAAGGATAGTTTACTGGCTACGTTTTTCATTTATTTCCATACTTGTCCCTTCTTTGCTTTGTGGAAAGAACAGCCTGCAGTTCAGCTGAAAAGTTCATGTAACTGGTTTTTATTTTTGACAGAATCGCAAATGCTTGTTTTTTATTTTGGCAAATTTCTAAATGTGGCGTGCAGAATACATTTATTTTAATGAAATATCACAATTTTAGGCTCAAATTGTCTGACAGACCACCAGTTACAAATCAGTAGTTTAAGGACTGTTGGAAAGACAGTTCAGGTTTGGTATACAGCTATAAAAAATAACATGTAATCGAAACCCAACTGCAGGTTTTACAGTTCAGAGGGGAGGATTACACTCCTGTTTCTTGTTGTTGGTCTGTAAAGTCATTGGACAACAGCTCATCTACACAAGAAAAAGAAAAGCAAGCTTATAATCCAACTTACAACATGTTCGCTCCACCTCTGAAAAGATTTACCAACATAGATTTTTATTTTTTTTTGCCAGATTCTCTTTTTGGGGCTTACAGCGTAGGTCGTTGTTATAAATGCTGAAAAACTTTTCCTACAGGAATGTCAACAACTAAATCAGACTTTCAACCATCTTAAAGGACACTCAAGTGTAGCAGCATCTGGAAAACAGCCAATAGGAACGCCCTCTCTCTGAAAATACCTGTCATTGGCCAAAGTCATGGGCTAGATTTTCTGAAGCTTGAAAACAGAACCAAAGGGAGGTGCAGAAGTCTAGTTTCCTCTCGGGTCGCTTGAAAATCCTCCTTGCCCGAGCTTTAAATCTGCTCTGAAAGTTCTCAACTGCAACTCTATCAAACTTTACTCATCATAGCACAACATGGCGTTTTCACTGAGTGTGCCACTTTCAGCATCCATCTCTTCTCACATGCAGCCTGTTCCCAGTGCGGGGACCTTGAGGGAGGAGAGGTTTGCTTTGGCGTGACGTCCTGAAGCAGCTCACCTTGCAGTCTCTGCAGCAGAGCCCGTTGCTGCACATGGCGTTGTGGGTCAGAGTACACTTCTTACAGCAGTTGGCTCCACTCTGAGCACACTCCTGCAGGCCAGAGAGGATTCACAGTATATCTGGAGAGTGCTTTGTGCTGGATTTTGACATCCTGAACTCACATTAAGTTAAAATCAGTGCAACGACAGTAGAGTTACAATATTTGGGGATGCCAGCTTCTATCATTTCTTCTGTCAGTGATTCAGGGAATAATACAACAATTAGATTTAATTCTTTTAGATTGATGAGACAATTAATTGAATGTGTGCGACAGCCAATTTTTCACCCACGCACAGGAAACATTTATCACCAGCAATTTAGTTGCAACTTTTCCGACCACGTTTAAATGCTGAGTGACTGATGTTTTATGCGTCTCGAGGAAATCAATAAGACATTAGATCATCTGAGTTTGCTCACCACAAGTGATCCACAGTCGCACTCCTCTCCCGGCTCCACATATCCGTTGCCACACTCTGGGAGGTCCAACAACTACAACAACAACAACAAAAAAACACAATATATAATCTGCGTATGTGACGGCAACAGTTTTTTTTTTTTATCAATTTATGCTCAAATGTTTGTTGGTTTTAGTTCAAAACTGAGATGAACAAACATTCCCGGCAGTCTCAGCGTGATTATATTCAGTCCTTACTGAGAACTGTGAGACTTTCTGACATTTATGTCTCCATAAAAGTGATAAAAGTCACCCGAAAGAGCCTCTCTGATAATAACCAACCGTCTCTCACCTTTGTGGGCTTGTTGAAGAGGCAGCTGCCGCCTCCCTGCTGGAGGAAACGCAGGTACTCATCTATGCTGCAGCGGGAGAACTTCCTGGGTAGGTAGTAGCTGAACATAAATCACTCACTTATACATTTGCTTCTTGTGCTGTATTGTTATTAGCTTCAAATTAAAAGTTAAACATGGTAAACTTTTCATTTACAAAGTGCACTCAAGGCTTCAATGCTTAATACACAAACTAAAAAACGAAAAGAAATCACAGTTTATCACTAAATGATGCTTTACCGAGACACATCCCGAAACATCTATTTTAGTGGAGCATTCTCTCTAATTGTAAACAAGTATTAACCAATTGTAAATTCAGTTTTTACCCCGTGTCCTCCATGATACAGCCCAGCCACGGATCTGGACACCTGCAGGCTCCTGGACAAACACAAAACATTCCTGTAGTCATGATGTGAACGCACACAACAAAACCTGCTGGAAACTTCACCACTTAAGGGAGCAGTAGAGGTGAAGGGATGCTGTATTGAAATAATTTCCAAGGTCTAGGATAAATAAAGTATTTCTATTGTATTCTATTCTATTCTATCTTCTCCGAGATAAATTTATTATAACGAGCTCAGTGGTCCAATCAAATGACTGCTGTATATGAGTTTGGTTTAAAACAGCTTTGAGATGCAAACCTTAGTCATTTAATTATTACAATGAGTATTAAAAGTAGAAAAACTGCCTCTTTAGCTCTTATACCTCGTGTCTCAGTCTTACCTGCAGTCGTTCGCTCCTTGTTCCTCAGCATGCCAATGTTCTGACCGAGACTCTGAGACAGCGTGATGGCCATGGGACCCACGCTGCCAAACTGAAGGAGCACAAACACATCATTTAAACAAGGACTACAGCGAAAAGCAACCACATATTATTTCTACAAATACACATTTTTAGTTGATGAAGTAGTCGGACCTCATTGATGCCTCCACCCCGAGTCACCGAGCAGATGCCTCCGATGTAGGCGGCCTCACTGCGACTGCTCATGAACGTCCTCCCGCTGAAGCAAAGACGGGAGGATTGTTAGAAGACAAGAGGACAACAAGGACAAGAAGAAGAAGTACAACAACAACAACAGGGAAGAAGAACAACAAAGACGAAGACGAAGATGAACAACAATGAAGAAGGAGAACAAAGCAGAGGACGAAGAAAAGTAAAAAGTGGAGGCAGAAGAACAACAGGGAAGAGGAAAGAAGAACAAGGAGGAGAAAGATGGAGGAGAAGAACAACAACGAGGAAGAAGCACATAAACAACAACAAGGAAAAGGGGAGGGGAGAGGTAGAGGAACAACAATAACAACGATGAAGAAGAAGAGGATGAAGGGGAAAAAAAGAAAAATGAGAAGGAGAGAAGGAAGAAAAGAAGAATGTAGAGGTGGAAAAACAACAAACAGCAGGAGGAGGAAAAAGAGGAAGAACAACAGCAAAGAGGAGGAAGAAGTATAAGACAAAAGTAAGAAGAAGAACAATCGAGAGGAAGACCAGAAGAAGAAAGAGAAGGAGGAAGGAAAGAGGACAAAGAGAAAGTAGAGGATGAGAAAAAGACAATAACGCCAAACACGTTGTGAACCCACGAGAAGAGGTGCACGGTGTCACAGTGCTGCTTGATGCTCTCCTTCCTGTACTTCATGAAGTCACGCAGGGTCAGCAAGGCGTCGTCGCCGATAGAGACCCTGTTTTCAGACGACCAGGTTTCCATGGCCACCAGGACGATGCGAGTGTTGAGCTGCTCCTTGTATATCTGGACCCATCACAACATGACAACTTAGCAACAATTACACAGACGAGGAGGCACAAATGAATTAACGAATTCAGCTAATGTGAGAGTTTATTTTCGTCTAATAATCCAGTAATCAGAACTATTACATCAGTTCTGATTGAGAGAAGCACTTTTGGAGGATATCATCAAATGAAACACAAACATAAAGCAGAGCACGAATGTAAAACAGCAACAAAAACACGTATCCAGTAGTTGTCCAATGTTATGTCAAATATTACTTAATTTTAAACGTCACACATGCATGATCAAAACAACCAATAATGATAATGATTACAAGTATTCTGCAGCATTCAAACTTTAATACAACTTTAGTTTGTTTGTGGTGCATTCAAGTGGTGATAGCGAATGGTTGTAACAGCCTGCCTCTAAAGAAAGAGGGCGCTATAGGACACGACTCTGGTCTCGGCTTAATAAACTTCGAATATCCATCCATCCATTATCTATACATCGCTTGATCCTCACAAGGGTCGTGGGGGGCTGGAGTCTATCCCAGCTGACTCAGGGTGAAGGCAGGAGACACCCTGGACAGGTAACCAGTCTATCACAGGGCTACACTTAGAGACAGACAACCAAACACACTCACATTCACACCTACGGACAATTCAGAATCACCAATTAACCTCAACATGTTTCTGGACTATGTGGGAGGAAGCTGAAAAACCCAGAGAGAACCCACGCTGCACGGGGAGAACATGCAAACCCCACGCAGAAAGATCTCAGGTGTCCTCACCAGGACGTGAACCAGCGACCTTGTAGCTGCGAGGCAACGATGCTAACCACCGAGCCACCTTGAACTTTGAATGTGTGGAATCATTAAGAAAAGGTGCATTTGTTGTATTGACTAAAATACAGCAGAATCCTGAAAGGTTTCAGCAAAGCAGACGAGAAGGATTTAACTACAAATTTAAGATTTAAAAGAAAAAAACAAAAACTTGGGATCCGACAGCTGAGTTTGTGCAGCTGTATTCAGTCGCATTTAACATTCACTCAATACAGTTTTTAATCATTGCAATTAATTGGAGAGAGTTGCATCCGTCTACTTCAGTCATGGAGTGCGAGGAAAGAGGCAGCAGCTGGTTGCCGTGGAAACCATGTTTGTCCCCCCCCTAAGCGAAGGGTTTCCTGTGCTGATGGTGCAGCGGAGGACACAAGCGCGCAAGGTGAGTATTTTTTTTTGCACTAGATTTGGCAGCTTTAGAGGAGGACGAGGAGAGTGCGTCTTTAATTTTATTAGGTTTCAGGGGGACGTGTAGAGTGTAGTCGTCATTATACATCACCTTTAATGTTTAAGGTGTTCTGTCTGGTCGTTGATTAAAATTGATGTCTTGAAACTGACATAAATCTAAGGTTTATTTATATAACCTACATTTTTATGCATTTCTAAATGATTTTATGTGTATATATATCTTCAAACAAGCCAAAATGAAGCAAAAAATTGAAAACATTGATATTAAAAGCCCTTATTAGAGTCAGGGAGATGATTGTAAAAGGAGGAGGATTCGAGAGGCGGTATTTTCTATTAGTCGGAGGTATTAAAACAAGATTTGTCACAGGAAACAGATCTAAAAGAATCCAAGCCTGTGACAGCTAAAAAAAATAAATTATCAGACAGTTTGTGGACTGACTGAATAAAAGATGGCAGCTGTCCCACTCAGGAATGTCTCATGTGCAGAAAACGGCTCCAAAACGTGGAAGGAAAGCTCAAGAGAGTCGCTATGATGGGGTGAGATGGTTAAAAAATAGATAAGAGGAAGCTCAGTCCCTCAACAGTATCCCCAGTTCTATGGATTTGTTGCTTTTTAACCTAATTACACCCATCTTCTGTTCAGATGAGTTTGCTGGTGTGAGGATTTTTTTATGTGATGTAAAGTCCTATGAGGTTAGATTTGTAATGTTGGAATATATACATGAAATAAACTTCTTACCAAATCCGCCATGTTCACCACCGATTTGGCAAAAATCTTCGTCTGAGTGGTTGATCGACGGAGCTGCACAAACTAACAAGAGGAGAAGAGAAACAATGTGTTACTACTTTCATAAAAAACTAAAAATGATTTTCTCTGGCCTTTTTTATTAGTCAATAACAACAATAATAATAATAATACATTTATTTTGTATAGCGCTTTTCAAGATACTCAAAGTCGCTTAACAGGGGAGAAGATAAAAACAGGAACAAAAAAAGTTGAATAAAAAGCAGACAAAAAGCAAGGTATAGAAGGTAGGTTAAAAAAAAAAAAAGTTAAATAGTAGTTAAACATTAAAAGTGATCTTGAAAAGTTGAGTTTTTAAAAGGGGACTTGAATGTGTGGAGGTCAGAGCAGCGTCAGATGGGAGATGGAAGGGAGTTCCAGAGGGTGGGAGCAGCAGCAGAAAAGGCTCTGTCCCCCCCAGGTCCGGTGCTTGGTCCATGGTGGTGGGGCGAGGAGGTGAGCAGGGGAGGAACGAAGGCTGCGGGAAGGGGTTTGGTGGTTGGAGCAGGTCTGTGAGGTAGGAGGGGGCTAGAGGATGGAGGGCTTTGTAAGTGAGGAGGACGATCTTGAATGTAATGTGTTCTTTGACAGGGAGCCAGTGGAGATGTTGGAGGACGGGGGTGATGTGTTCTGAATAAGCTGAAGTTTTTTGAGGAGTTTGGAGGGTAAACCGTAGAGGAGGCTACTGCAGTAGTCCAGTCTGGAGGGGATGAAGGCATGGATGAGTGTTTTCAGCTGCAGGGAGGGAGAGATGGTCAGAGACAGGCGATATTTTTCAGATGGCCAGTTTGACCTGTTTGATGTGCTGTTCAAAAGTGAGGTTGGTGTCAAAGATTAGTCCAAGGTTGCAGGTGTTGGTGAGGCAGAAGTGATGGATGGACTGTTAGGATAGTGAGAGAGCGAGACAGGAAAGTGGGGAGAAGACCTGCAGCGGGAGTCGAACCCACGACTGCTACAGCCCCGTTCATGGGTCGCCCGCTCAACCAGGTGAGCTGTAGGGACGCCCATCTGTTACTACTTTTAATATTTAGAAAAGCAAGATTGACTTATTTTAATTTGTGCTAATGCAGTGATTGAAAGTAACTAAGTACATTAACTCAAGTACAATACTTAAGCGTTATGTTGTCTGCAGCTTTTTACTTATACTCAAGCATGTTTCAGTGAGAAATGCACTTTTTAGGTTAACAGATTTTACATAAAGAACCACAAAAACCATAACAAACAACAATAGTACATTACAACATTACTGCTCTTTATCATCTCTTACAAAAATAAGCAGTCAGATTTCTTTTCTTTGTCTTGTTTCACAAAATAATTTTCAAAAAGAGACGCTACAGCAGCAAAACACTCTTAAAAGGTTTTCTCAGGGAAAGAGAACTGCCTAACTCTCCTTCAAATAGCCAGCTTTGGGTTCATCATTCATGTCTGCTGAAACAGGAACGAGAATTCCAGGAATCACAAAGTTAAACTCAAGTAGAACTTCACCGCAAGACAAATAAGAATAAGAGGAATAAGAAGATAAACAGTCACTGCCTCTCACAGTTCCTCTGTGCTCATTATAAAGCACAATCAACACAGCTATCGGCGAGACTGACTTATTATTTGTGCTGCAGTCACACCAAGTCGGTAAAAAAAAGAGACCTTGGAGCGCTCAGCTGGACACCTACCAGATCGTAATCGTTGACAACCATCAGCTCGATGTACTTGGTCTCGGTCTGGACGGTGCGCTGTCCTCGACGCACCTGGAGGGGGCAAAAGAAATCCACACGTTTGAGTTTGCTGTCATAATAACCTTCACACAGGACAAGCGCACACAAACACAAACCCAGCAGGTGAAAGCATCATTCACAC